AAGTTATGCCACTTCAGGTGAGGATACTGGGCCCTGCTACCTAAATGGTGTTAGAGTAACTTCATTCTGCTCCACAGAGATAAAACAAGCAATTTGCAGTCCTTCAGCATCCCAGGATACATTGCTCCCAGCCCTCCCCAACCCCACCCAAGGTGATTCTATTTCCAGGGTGACTGCTCTAAACACTACACCATGGAAAACATCCTCTCTTTTTCTTGCTGTTTCAGATAAATGTATAATTCATAAAATGGAACAGCTTCAGTGCCAGGGGTTGAGTGAGACCTGTCTCAGCACTCCTACAAAATGGGAGATATGGGTTCATACCCTGTCAGGGAGAAGAAGGAATTGAATCTACATCTTCCACTTGTGACATGAAGGCTTTATTACTTGGCTACTGGGCAAGAAGGGGCTCCATCAGTTTTGTGAATATAATAGCCCTTTGCTTTTCTACTATTACTTGAAATACTTTCATTGAATTCAATACATTTGCTGTTTTTAGCTTTAGGAAGAAAACAAATAAAACATAAAATTCCAGTACAGATACCCCCCCTCCCCCCCCCACACACACTTTTCATTGTACAACCAGATAGAAAGCTTATACAGTATAACCTCATAAATCTGGATATCAAAGATCTGGAATTCTTGAAAATCTGGCACTTCTTTAAAATATATTACATTGGAGAGTAGTGGTGGCCAGTCCCAGAGCAGTGGAGGTGGAAGCTTGCATGCGGCGCTGCCACTGCCATCCACCACCCCATGTCGCCACTCGGTGTGCAGCCACTGCTCCAGGACTGGATGCTCCCCCTTCAGCTGCCCACTGTGACCAGCCACTGCCCTGATTTAAAAAATCTGGAATTTTCACATTTCAAGCAGGTGCTTGGTCCTGAGCACGCTGGATTTATGAGGTTATATTGTATTTGCTTCCCTAGCTATGTGTTGCTGGGCAGGTGCTAAAGAGTATTTGGTTGATAAGCAGGAATCCTGATTTTCTCTGTTTAAAAATCGCAGATTCTCTGATTAAAACCCCCAAAATCCATGATTAAAATGAAATGCCAGTATATCTATAGGTATCAACTGAACACAATGTTTTATTGATATATTTACAACTTTAAAGCAGTTTGGAAGCCTACCAGTGCCTCAGTCACTATAATAAAATAAATTCTAATTCTATAAATGTTGGTACTCGATTTTGGTTTTTTTATCATGGAAAATCAGAGCTTCCCCTGCCCTTCTCACTCACCAGGATGCAGGTCCAGGCCCCTCACTCCCAAGCAGAGCAGGGCCGGGTAGGAAAGCTCCTTTCCACTGCAGGCACTGTGCTGCCTTGGTGAAGTGACTCTGCATGCCAAGCTGCAGCAAGGGGCACAACTCTGCGCCTCTGCCCCCACTGCTGTCGGACTTGGGGGGCACCTCACCATGGTGCTGTGCAGCTCCCAGCAGTGCCACGAGCTTCCCTGCCCAGCCCCAGTCTGCCCTACTGCACCGGTTCCTGCCTGTTGGGCTGTGGAGGCCCTGGGGGAGGGCAGCAGGGTGGGGAGCCTGAGCCCACGGCCCCATCCCACTCTGCCAGGGCCCTGTGGCCCCAAGCCCCATGCACCACCTGGGCTGGGCAGCAGCCCCAGCCCTGCCCATCTCCCTCCCTCCTTTCCTCCCTTCTTATGTGGGCCTCCATGTCCCTCCCCCCCCCCCCAACTTACCTATAGGAACTACTCTCCTAGTGGCCCTATGATTATGTGAGCATGTGCATGGTGCCCCCTGCCTGACCACCCTTCTCCCTCTCCCCCCATCACCTTGCAGGCTGGAACTCTGCCAGCCTGCAGAGAGCTTTTTGCAAAAGTGGAAATTTCATGTGCTTCTCTGTTAAAAATGAAGCATCTTTACTTTTTTATGTCAAAAGGGAAAATCCACATTTTCCACCATTTTTCTGTGGGAAATGGAAAACCTGGATCCGTGTTGATTAGCCTTTCTGTAGGGGAGGCAACGCACTATCCTGCTGAGCTAGAACATGCACCTGGACAACTCATTGTGCCATAGGTTTCCAATGTATGGACTTGCATATTTTTTTAGTACTCAGTGAGGCAGTACTAGACAGCTCCTTTTTATCTCCTTTTTACCAAGGTATGTTTCTGACAATTGACCTACGTTAAGAATGAGAAATAACTGACACATCTCAGGTACCATTGTACAGTAAGTGTTCACAAAGGTATACTTTTTACATGGAGACCACTGTATCTGTTGGTGGCATGTTGAGGTTACAGTGCTGTATGGCAGTAACAATTTCAGCTGTCTGCTTTAAAATGATAGGAAATAAGACTGCTCCTCAACTGCAGTAGGCTTTGTGTGTCCCCAGGGGAAGGGTACAAAGGAGGCAGATTTTTGTCAAACTACTTATTTTGCTTTAAAAAAAAAAATGCAAAGAAAAGCAGAAGAGATGCAAGTCTTTAAACTTAAAAGCCTCCTGCCTGCTAAACAGTTTTTTCTAAGTGACAGATTATCTTTATTTTCTGAGAAACGTTTTGAGTAAGAGGAAAAAGGCTACAGTAAATAGAGATAAGACATGAGACAGAAACCAGACACGTGATTGGGGTTCTAAACCTTGATTCATAGATTTCATAGAGAAGTAAGGCTGGAAGGGACCTCAAGAGATCATCTAGTCCAACCAGGGATTGAATCTGAGAGCTCGGTGGTGTTAGTGCCACACATTAACTGACCTAAACAGCTGCATATCAAAATATATTTGTCTTGCTGCAAATGAAATGTTATGTACCTCCAAAGGTGAATTTGTAAAAGCCTATATGATATATGTAATATACGTGTACCTTCTCACCTGTCTACTTACCTATAGCATAGACTTTCCAGCTAAATGAATACAGAACATATGCCAAGTGACATACTACATATGAGGAGGATGGCTTTGGCTCTGTGATTATCTTCTAACCCAGGAATAAGTTAAGGCAGCCACTAGAGTGCTGTAATTTAGGCTAATTTCTATGATCTTCAGAAGGGTTTGGAAGACATCAAAGGAGAGCCAGCCAGCAGGTATTTGAGGGGAACCACCTGCCTTACACTGCCAGACCAAATGAGAATAATGCTGTTAATTCCTCCCTCTCCTCTCCTTTCTACAGCTGTAATGACTGGGCACTTTGCAAGACATGTAATTTTAGGAGAGTTTAAGCATGTTTCTGGGGTCATACAGGAAATTTTAATTATTTCTACTTTATGTTATTCTGGGACATTCTGTATTTATGGAGTTGCATTTTTTAGAATAACTATGCTACTATTGTTTGAGGTGCTTTATCAGAGAAATGAATGCAGAACATAGGTGCTCCTGTTCAGAACACCCTACGAAAGTGGAGCTAGAAGGGACCTCATGAGGTCATTTAGTCCAGTCTCCCCTCCCCAGGCTCAAGTCAGGATCATCCTTGACTAAATCATCACAGCCGAGTATCTGTTCAACCTGCCTTTGAACATTTCCTGGGATGGAGATTCCACAGCTTCTCTAGATAGCTTGTTCCAATGTTTGGTTATTCTCATAGTCAGAAAGTTCCTCCTAATCTCTAGCCAAAATGTCCTCTGCTGAAACTTGAGTCCGTTGCTTCTAGTCCTGTCCCCTCCAGCAACAGACAGAAGGCCATCTCCAACTTCTCTATATCACCCTTCAGGTATTTGAAGACTGTTATCAAGTCCCTCTTCAGTCTTCTCATCTTCTGACTAAGTAACCCCAGCCTCTTCTCATATGTCCTGTTTCCCAGGCCTCTGATGATAATCTAATCACTCTCCCCTGGACTCCTTGCAATCTATCCATGTCCTTCTTGAAGTGTGGAGTCCAAAACTGGACAGAGTGAGGCCTCACAATTGCTGTATAGAGCAGAAGAATGACTTCCCTTGATTTGCAAGTGACACATCTGTTAACTCTTAGCTTTTTTTTGCAACACAAGTGTGCTGCTGACTTAAATTTGGCTTATATTCTACTGTAACACCCAAGTCCTCCTCTGCAATCCTGCAACCTAGCCAGTCATTCCCAGATCCATATTTGTGCATGCAGTTATTTTGTCCCAAATTTAGGATTTCACACTTGTCCTTGTTGAATTTATTCTGGTTGATTGCGAACCATTTCCCACATCTGTCCAAGTCATTCTGGATCCTAACCTTACACTCCAGAGTGTCTGTAACTCCACCCAGCTTGGTGTCACCCACAAATATGCTAAGCATGCACACAGTCCCATCATCCAAATCATTAACGAACATACTAAACAATACTGGACCCAGGATAGACCCCTCATTTGATATCTCCTCCCAGCTAGGCATTGAGCCATTGATGACTCAGCCATCATGATGATTCAACCAGTTATGTATCCACCTTCTACAACTTTTATTTATTCTGTGTTTCCCTAGCTTGTTAATGAAAATGTGAGAAACTGTGTCAAAAACCTTGCTGAAGTCAAGACATGTCACAGTCACTGCTCTCCTTTCTCCTCCCTCCTACCCCCTCTTCCACAGAGCCTGTCACGTTATCATAGAAGGAAAACTGTTGGTGAGGCATGGCTTGCTCTTGGTGAATCCCAAGTTGGCTGTTGTGTTATAAATCTAAAGTATAAACCAATAAGGAATTGTATAACACACATTCTTTAAAAAAGCTGCTTTGTTTCAAGGAGTCCCCCCCCCGCCGCCAATCAGAATTTTTTCTATTTCTTGTTTACCTGCAGTTTATACACACAATTCTGCTACCTAAACTGCGTACAGTAACCAAACTGAAAAAAAAGTGAATGTTTCTCCTTTTCCTCCTTCCTAAACCCAGTACCTGTTATCAGTGGTGACCAGCAGAGTTTGCAGATAAAATGTGATTTTAATTGGTTTTTCCATATTGTGCGGTTTTTTAAGAAAAGTTTGAAAAAGGCCGAATAAAGTTGCTTTAGTAAGTGTCTTTAATATCTGCAGTGTACCAGTATATGTACGTATTACCTGCTGCTATTAGCTGCTATTATGATTTTCTGTTCCAGGATAATGTTTTAAACATCATAAATCAGATCATGGATGAATGCATTCCACATGACCGGGCCAATCGGGACTTCTGTGTGAAATTTCCAGAGGAAATACGCCATGACAACCTTGCAGGGCAGCTTTGGTTTGGAGCAGAGGTAGGTCTGTGGTATATGTGTAATTTTATGTTAAATGGAGATTGGTTTACTGTGTGCATCTGGTAAAGAATGGTTGGTAGCTTATGCTTGAAATGTGTGAAACTCATTTTCTCGCCAAAGAACATCTAAAATTTTAGATCAGTGGCCACAAGCATTGATTTGACTATTAAATTAATTTGTTCTTGATGCGCACTCTAAGATAAACTGTTGTACTTGCGAAATAGAACTTGTATTAATAATTGTGTACAGTAATTTGTCTGCCTTTTAGAAATTGTGTATATACGATTAATGTGTTGGTATTTTATATTTATATTTCCAGTTTATTGGGTCAATTTTATATCCACCATGAAGGCTGTCACATGCTGGCTGTAAAAGTTTTCCATATATGTCCACAGAATTTCAGGTCTGAGTAAAGTCATTTTTCAGGGGACAATTTATACTATTCTTAACTAAACATATATTTGACCTTTCTGTTGTTTCTCCCTCTAATTACTATATTATTTTAACCATTATTAAATAGAGAAAGAGATTAAAAGGCGCACCTATGTGAGAGTCCAGATGTCTCTGCAATAAGCAGTGAATAAAATAATTATGCTGCAGAATACCAAATTCCTCACCTCCCTCACTCAAATGCTTACTTTTACAGGAGCCTATATAAATAGGTTTGTAGTATTCTCTGCTGATTAGTAGTCTTGGGCTATTTGGGCCTGGGGAGAGGTGAAGATCCATAGCTAAGGGGCATGTATGTATGTGCGTGTGTGCACGCACACATGTATTAACATGCACAACCGTTAGCCCTGATGTCTGGGAACTTTGAGCATTCTTTTACAAAAAAGCTGTCTGACCTCTTTCATGGGAAGCAAGGCAACTTCAGGTTAGCAGACCTTAAAAACTCTTGGTATCAACAATATGTAAGAAAAGAAGGACAGTGGTCTTAATATTCTCCCTCTCCCCACCCCAACTTTTGCTCTATCTGTCATCTTCTATCACCTTTGGCACCCTGCTCTGGTGGCATGGACCCTGGGGTGAGTGGCTGGAAGCCCAAAGTTCGAGGCCATAGCAGAAGTGGACACAGGGCAAGCATGTCAGATTCCAACAAATCTTCAAATTCTGTTAAATACTAAGGCTATGCAAAATTTCACCTAGTGTTTCATTTCAAAGCTGTTTCAATGAGTTTCGAGCTCGAAACAGCGAAATTGAAATGAAACAAAAGCCTTTGAAATAGCTTTGAAATGAAACAAGGGCACTCGAAACATTTCAAAAGTTTTGAAACATTTTGAGTTTCGAAGCCAAGCTTACTTGGCTTCAGTGCTGGTCCTAGCCAGCAGTACCAGCCTCCTGTCATCTGACAGGCAGACTGGGCTTGCCCACACCCTCGGGAGGACTGTGGGGGCTGTACCAGATGGCTCCTGGGGGTGCAGGCCCCCAATCTGCCTGCCGGATCATGGGAGGCTGGTGCTGCCAGCTGGGGCCAGCAGCAGCCAGGGTTGTCCCTGGGGTTGGGCGGTGAATGGGATGACCACCATGGGCCCCGCACTTTGAGGGGCCCTGCAGAGCTGGGTGGAGTGGCAGTAGTGACTGCACCACCGGCACCAGCTTCGCACCCCGCTGCTCGCTACCCCCCTGCCCCCCACTGCTAGTGCTGCCATCAATGGCAGCAATGGCTTCTTCGCGTCCAGAGCGTGCGGGATTGGGGTGGGGGCAGGTCCCACACCCTCCTTGGTTTGGTTATGGTGTGGGGCCTGGGGCAAATCAGCTCATGCAGGGACCTGCCTCTGCCCCAATCTCATGCGCCCTGGATGTGAAGAAACCACTGCCACCATTGGTGGTGGGGGTTAGTGAGCAGCCAGACACGAAGGTGGCGACAGCTGTGCAGAGTTGCTGTGGTCACTCTGTCTGGCTCCATGGGACCCCCAAAAGCGCGGAGCCCGGGGCGGCCATGCCATTGGCCGCCCCCAGAGACGGCAATTTTGCCCATAGCCTGGGCTGGGTAGATTGTGGCTGCCACTGGCCCCAGCCAGCAGCACCAGCCTTCTGTCATCTGGGAGGCAGATTGGGGGTCCACACCCCTGGGAGTAGTCCGGCACAGCCCACCCGGGTGTGCGGGCAAGCCCCCGATCTGCCTGCTGGATAACAGGAAGCTGGTGCTGCCAGCTGGGGCTAGCAGCAACACCGATCTTCCCAGCACTGGCTGCAGAATAGCCTTTGGGCGAAACTTCAAAACAGTATCAAAACAGCAAAACAGTTTCGGCAAAAGAAAAAGGAACAGTGCTTTTGAAACTAAACAAAACTCTAAACAAAACACTGTTTCATCGAAATGTTGAAACGGAAGTCGAAGCAGAATGGTGCTGTTTCACACAGCTTTACTGAATGCTTTATCATGAGGACATTCAGTACCTTCAGCATCATATATTCTTCATCATACTTCCTACATTTAAAGTATTTACTAGCTCTTATTAGCTAAGCACCATCCTCCTCCTCTTCCCACTTTAGAATGCATATTTTTTGTAAATAATTTCTAAAACATTTTATATAACTTCTAGTTCCATGATTTCCCTTTTCAAAAATACAGATTTATTTCCAGTGGTAAAGTCTTTTGGTCAGCAAAGATATGGTATATCCTGGACAGAGTTTGCAAAGACCTAATATATGATGCTATGCAAGTCATTTGAAATGCCTTGATGTAAGACAAGGCAAGAGATGAAATAGATCTCTCTGTTGTCCCACTATGCCACCCTGGCATGTACTTGCCTTCACTCATCTCACACCCTGTTTTGCTCTGAGGGATGCTAGCATTTAAAATGCTTTGCAGCCTGATGTGCTGATTCTGCAACTCTTCACACCATCTTGAGAACTCCCTGCTGAGTACTTAAAACTAGACACAGTTTCTTCTCATCCCCTTAATAAATCCTGAAGCCCTTTATTGTTGCGGAGGTGTGTAGGGGGGTGGGGTTTACAGCAGGAAAAAAGCAGTTATATATATTAATTATATATTAGTTATATTAATATATAAAATATTAATTATTTATATAGAAAACTTATTTAAAAAAAACTCTGTGTGTGTGCATAGTCCAGGGTGGAAAATGCTGGAGGTACCACCGAGAGAGTATACATTTTAGGAGAGAAATCTCGAGTGTGGTTCAATGAGTGTGTTACATTACACGGTATTTTTTGGCTCATCTGAATCAGGCCTTCAGTCTCTGTGCTGAAGGGAGTTGCTAGCTTCAGAAAACTATAGCTACAAACAGAGCTAGAAGCCATGACAACTTTCTAGAGGGAAATATAGTATGGGAGGCTATATTTATTTGTAGAGACCTCTCCGAGAATAGCATGCACATTGTTTTCTTGTCAGCTTCCTCACTGTGAATTTTGTTTAAACTGTGAGCTATAACTGTCAACATCTAAGACTTGACTGGCCTATGGTTTATTGTAATTATTGCTTTAGATTGATGAGAGAACAAAAACGTGAGATTCTGAGAGTGCCCTTGTACCATAAATCAGTACATCAGGCTGCTGAGTAAGGTCTAGGATTACAGATCCTCCCTACAGAGCTGGAAAATGTGTTCCAGCCATTGCTATTCACCAGTGAAAAGGAGACTGAAAAAGAAAGGAAAAAAAAAAGCCTCAAGATTGACTTATGCTATGTGTGCATTACATTTTGAAAACATATTTCTATTAATAAAGTAGATTCAGTATAATTTATATCAGCACACACTGCCTTCCAGATGTAACCGTCAGTGGACCAGCCCAGCAGTGGAAATTACTAAACGCCTTCTTTTAAACAATAGTGTTTCTGAAAAAAAGAAACATTTGTTAGTGTATCAAAATAAAGGTTTACCTATAAGATTTCTGAGTTGGTCAGCTAATGCACTGGCTAGTGCATCACATAAAGCTTTACTAGGAGCAGAATTTCCTTTCTTTTTTTTCCAAGGAGGGGTTTATTTTTCAATATCAAAATAAAGAAATCGGCTTCTGCTGCTTGGCCTCTCCTAAGCCTCTTCCCCTCAAAACTTTTTTTTCCTGCACACATGGCAGCTACATGCAAAAAGTCTTTCACCTTGTTGGTGGGGATTGCCTCCGCCTATCTCCTTCCCTTTTGTCCTGGGCCACCCTACTACTCCCGGGTCTCCGAGGGCAAGCAGTTTATGGCCTTTTCAGGACCACATGACTTCCAGGTGCTCACCTGATGTCTGGTCTCAAATCCATCCCTTGGGAGGCAGTAATTAGTCAGAGGTGGATCCAAGCCCAGCTCCCTTTAAGTGCCATCTATTCCTGTGACTTTCTCTTGCATGAAGTATAACCTAATTGCTTTTTCCTCTTTAAAAAATTATTTCCACAGTGCTTGGCTGCTGGTTCAATTATTATGAATCGTGAAATTGAGAGTATGGCTATGAGACCATTGGCTAAGGATCTGACTCGTAGCCTGGAGGAAGTAAGAAACATTATTCGTGACCAGGCCCTACGGGATTTGAATCTTTACACAGAAAAAATGAGGGACTCGCTCAGACATTTTGATATCCTTTTTGCTGAATTTGAGTTAAGGTAAGCAATTCAGAATACATGTACCCTGAACATTACCTCATACAGCTATACTTTTTTTTTTCAGAGATTTTGAATTTCTTGAATAAGATATAATTTTTATTACAGTGTCACATCCTCCTTCCTTTCAGTCAAATAAAATGCTATAGCTACTTGGCAATCTGGATTTGCAGTCTTTAAGTATGATGTAATCTACATGTTGGGCACTGAAATATGGTATTTGAGGGAGATTTTCAAAGGCACAAATGCAAGTCAAATCTCTCTCTTAATGTTGTTGTCAGAAGAAAGGAAACAAATAAGAGAGGATATGATACAAAGTGTACACGGTAATGAGTGGTTCTCAATGGAGTAAAGGACGGTGGGGAGGGGCACACTGTCCTTACCTTCTCCCACTACCAGCCACTTGTGTGCCAGGCCATGGCTCTTCCCTGCTGCCATGGTCCAGCTACCGCTGTTCCCCTCAGGCTTCACCCAAAGAAGAGGTGGGGTGGCAGGCAGTGTCGCTTGTGCTCCCCTCTTCTTCCCCCACACCCCATAGACTCTACCGTGGGGAGCCGCTGGAGCTGCTTTCCATGCTGCCTGGCCACCATGTGCATATGTGAGCACCTGCATGCATGTGGTGCCCCCTGCGTGATAGCCCTCCTCCTGCTCCCCCCAGCCCCGAGCAGCCCCTTGCAGGCTGGAACTCTGCCAGCCTGCAAGGGGAGACCTGTAGATTGCCACTTTTTTCTCCTTTAAAGGAGAATCCATTTTTAAAGTTGGTTGATTCATTTTTTTAAAGTGTGTTTGTGACCCTTTCATATGTTCTTGCGGCCTGTTTTTGGATCACGACCCTTGGGTTGAGAAATGCTGATCTAGAGAACAGAAGCTTCTGTTCTCCCCGCCTCGGCACCAGGGTAAGGAGACATTGAATGAATTTAAGGGGGTCAGAATGAAAACTAACGAAGGTCCCCTTTACACGTTACAGGTATTGTGCAATTAACTAGTTAATTACAGAGTTACCTTAAGACCAGCTACACATGCAGAGTAGCTATCCCATGATAAAAAGCTTCAACCAGCTATAAAATTATACTTTGAAAATGTATTCAGCTTTAATTTAAATGTGTAGTGCCCAGCTGCAGGGGTGAACCTTGCCCAGCCTGAAAACCCCAGGCCCTGGGGATCATGGCAGCGATGATCCCCAGAGCTCACGGGGGATGTAATCCCCTCCCAGGTCAGCTGGGACTGAGAGACCCTGCAACTGACAGGGCTTCTGGTCTCTGCTATGCCTTGTGCAGCCAGCTTCATCAGTTGTGGTCTGTGCATGGCCCCTGTAGCTGGGAGCCTCCTCAGCAAAGGCTCCCAGCTGAGAGATCCAGCTCCTTGCCAGTGCAAGGGGAGCCCAGGATCGGACTCCCCCTGCACCAGCAATAAGGCACAATTGGATCTAATGTGTGAACTGACAGTCGTACCTCCTGCCCGTGCATGTGCAGCACAAATACAAGTCATCTTACTTGCACATATAGAGGAGACCAAAGGGAAACATTTTTCCACAGGAGGATGTAATTACTTTGTGGAATTCTTTGCCAAATACTTAGCAAGATTAAAAATGGGACTGGGCATCTACATAAAAAAGAATATGCAGTATTATAGTTTTGCTGGCACTATTTATTTTTCAAGAAATATTAAACCTCATGCTTCATGAGTTAAACCTATCTGCAACAGGGATTAGGAGGTTTTTTGCAACTTTCTGTGTTGCAAGACATTCCCATAATTCTGCATAGAAAACAAGTTTTGTTTGGCTAATTTACAGACTGCCTATAATCTAGTCTGCTTTGCTCAAATAATTTCATTTGTAACAGCTCTAAATAGAAAGCTTCTCAGCTTCTACCCCCACCCAAAAGTCACACGTATCAAGTGCTTATTGCTGAATATTTATAACGATACATAAAAATTTACAGCTGACATTCATTACCTCAAATGGCAATAAATAAAGCATCTGTAATTCTTATGGATTCACTTTCATTTATATTGCAAGTTCTCTTCGTGAAAATTATAAAAAAAAAAAAATTAAAGCTGTCAGAAAAATGGCTTGTTTTTAATTCGACCTACATTTAGTCACAGTTAATTTATGTTGGATTGTTAAATGATCGAAAAAGATTAAAATACTCTACTTTTTAAACTTTTGTAGTTATGTATCAGCCATGGTACCTGTAAAATCTCCAAAAGAATACTATGTACAGCAAGAGGTAATCGTGCTTTTTTGCGAAACAGTAGAGAGGTAAGCACATCTGAGAAATTAATTTAATACATTTCAATATTTTGTACCCATAGTATACTTTTTTCTTTTTACCTTTTATTAGACCTGTTATGCATATACCATGCTGTAATCTTTAAGAAGCAATGTAATAGCATTTAATTTTTGTCATGTCCAAGTATGCAGTCAGAAAGCATTGGATGTTTGTGGAAATGTTTTGGCTTAAAAACATATATCACTATAGTATCATTGGAGTTCAGAGTGATAGACTTAAGGCTGACTAACCATTTAGCTTCACTGGATGTTTAAATATGTTATATATATTCAAGTCAATAAAGTTGTATGCAGAAGTGCTTTGTGCACATTTTATAGCGCTGTAATTTAGAGCCCTTTTTATAGCACTGTAAAGTTACAATGCCCTTAAACATGACAGAAGTGCAGTGTTGGGGGGGGGGGGCTCTGAGCCTCCCTGCACTTTCCAGGCTAGAAGGCAGGGGGAGCTGTGCTCCTGGAGCTTCTCCACTGGTCAGAAACTTGACCAGCATACAGAAGTTATTTAAAGTGCTGTAGGTTGCTAAAGTGCTGTAAAATATAGCATTTCAGATTTAATATCTCATTTAACAAGGGTTTATTTAAAGCGTGGTACCCCTTTTTAAAGGTCTGTAAAGCCATGCACTTCTGTTAAGTCACAGCAGTAAAGCAATTTAAATGGCAAAAAAGTGATTTCTGTACACACCTTAAGTCCTGATGAAATTTCATGCTAGACTATCTAAGGAGCTAGTAGAGAAACTAGCTGAAGCATTAATTACTTATCTCTGAGAACTCAGAGGAGGGGTGAGCTCCCAGATGATGAGGGCAAGCATTATACTTATTTTTTTTAGAGGAGGACTTGGTAAGGTACTTGATCTTAGCCAAGAGGCTGGTTCTGGCATTCTGTTACTATGATGTCAAATCCACCTGGGTCAACAAAAAATGGGAATAGTGGTTACCTGTTGAAACGATGTGCTTGATGAGAAGGAAAGGATGGAAGCTTGGACGTCCTGAAGAGGGCCTTACTTCAGGAGTGTGGCTACTTTTGTTCCCTCAGGTGATCTTTGAGATCTTTCCTTTTTGGTGATCATGGTAGGCAGAAGCACTATGTGCAGCCTCTTGGATAGTTCAAATGGCCGAGAACAATTCCTCCCTTCTTGATACAGCTAAGGCTGAATGGGGAGACTGGACTCAGTATGTTGTGGCCCCTGCTCCATCACCAGGGAAGATCTATTGTATGTTTGTGTGGAAAGCTTCCTCCTAATCTTCATATATTTTACATTTCGGAGTTGTGGTTGGGGAAGGCATCGTTATGTCATTTGGTTCCAGTAGGCGGGGGTGGTAGTACCAAGAAGAGATTCAATTATCTATGGGTAGTGAACTCTAAGTATAATTTTTCTGCTTCACTTTTTCTGGCTTATCATATCATATGCTCCTAGTTCAAGTTTCTTCTTCCTTATATTTATTTTAATTATTAAATGCTGATACATTTCTGAGAAATGTATGTTTTGCTGTTTTACCTAGAGCTCTGAAGCTTGGATACCTCACTCAAGACATGATTGATGACTATGAACCAGCATTAATGTTTACCATCCCAAGATTAGCAATTGTGTGGTAAGCTTCATTTTTAATTGAGCATTTTAAAATGCATTGAAAATTGAAACAAATTCATATAGCAAAGTGCAGAAAGAGTCAATAAGATCAAAAGGCAACAAACACTAAGAAAGGATAATTCCAAACAGCTGAAAAGGCAGGGTAGGAACTGAGAATAGCTGTTCAGTCATCCCTCAGGAATAGACATGGAAATCAGGAGCGCTGGCGGTTAGTGTGACTTGGTACATAAAATAAGCTGTCTGGATGTTTTCTACGTCACTCGGGAAGTAATGGCCTTTTGTTATGAGCCATTAAAAATCATGAGTTTTCATCATAATTGCTTAGTTTCCTTATTGATATAGGCAGAACCCAAAGGAAATTATCTTGGTATCTGCTAATATAGTTCAGTGTAACAAAAGGGCAAGTTAGGTATAGACCATTTTCTAAAAAGAGCAATTACGCATATAATTGGATGGAAGCAAAATTTTGGCCTGACCTCTTTCCCCCAGTTGATTGCTCCAACTGCTAAATGAGTATGCTTTTACACTTAAAACAGTTTATTACAACAGTACATATTCAGTGAATAAAATGCATTCTCCCTAATGGGTCTTTCTTATTTAATAAGATGATTTCTGTGGAGTAGTCAAGGCAGCAAGACTACAAATGCTATATTTTCATAGAGTCATAGATGTTAGGGTCAGAAGGGACCTCAGTAGATCATCGAATCCGACCCCCTGCCCTAGGCAGAAAAGAGCACTGGGGTCAGATGACCCCAGCTAGGTGCTTGTCAAGTGTCCTCTTGAAGACCCCCAAGGTAGGGGAGAGCACCACCTCCCTTGGAAGTCCATTCCAAATTATGGCAACCCTTACCTTAAAGCAATTCTTTCTAACATCCAACCTAAATCTGCTCTCCGTCAATTTATGGTCATTGTTCCTAGTTATTCCACGGGGTGCCTAGTAAACAGAACATCTCCTATTCCCTGCTGCCCTCCCCTGATGAATTTATAGACAGCCACAAGATCACTTCTCGGCCTTCTCTTGTGAAGGCTGAAGAGATCTAGGTCCCTTAGTCTCTCCTCATAGGGCCTTGCCTGCAGGTCTCTGACCATACAAGTGGCCTCCTCTGAACCCTCTCAAGATTCTCCACATCCCTCTTGAAGTGCAGCGCCCAAAACTGGACGCAGTACTCCAACTGCAGCCTGACCAGTGTTGCATAGAGGGGAAGCATCACCTCCCTGGACCGGTTCATCATGTATCTGTTAATGCATGATAAAGTGTGGTTAGCCTTGTTGATCACTTCATCACATTGGCAACCCATGTTCATCTTGGGGTCAACTATGACTCAAAGATCCCTTTCCGCTGCCGTGCTGCTGAGAAGGTCATCCCCCAGCCTGTAAGTGTGTCGGTGGGTCTTTTTGCTCAGGTGCAGCACTTTGCACTTGTCTTTGTTGAACTGCATCCTGTTTCGTTCTGCCCATTTTTCCAACCTGTCCAGATCCGTCTGGATCCATTCCCTACCCTCTGGTGTGTTAACTTTGCCCCATAATTTGGTATCATCTGAAAACTTGGACAGGGTGCTCTTCAGTCCCTCATCCAAGTCACTGATGAAGACATTGAATAACACCAGTCGAAGGACCGAACCTTGCAGGACTCCACTGCCCACATCTTTCCAGCTCGATATCGACCCATCCACCACCACTCTCTCGGTGCAACCCCTGAGCCAATTTGCCACCCACCTGACCGTGTAATCATCTACATCACAGCCTGTCAATGTATTTATGAGAACAGAATGAGATACCGTAATGAAGGCCTTCTTAAAGTCTAGGTAGATGAGATCTACCTCAACCCCTGCGTCTAAGCATTTTGTGACCTGGTCATAAAAAGAAACAAGGTTAGTCAGGCAGGATCTACCTGCAATGAATCCGTGCTGATTTCCTTTCAGCATTATTTCCCCTGCTGGGCTCCCACAAATGTGATCCTTAATGTTTTTTTCCAGAGTTTCGCAAGGATAGAGGTGAGACTAACTGGCCTATAGTTTCCCAGGTCCTCCCTCCTCCCTTTCTTGAAAATAGGGACCACATTGGCCCTTTTCCAGTCCTCTGGGACCTGACCAGAGTACCATGAGTGCTTGAACAGCCATGCCAGCGGCTCTGCTATGACACTGGCCAACTCCTTCAGCACCTTTGGATGAAGTTCATCCGGGCCCGCTGATTTGAACAAATCCAGCCCTCCAAGTGTCCCTTCACTAAGTCTGCGCTGACAGTTGGTGAACTGGAGTCTGTCCTGTGTCTATCTACAGTCCAATTGGGAGATTTGTCTTGGTCTGTCTAGGAATACAGATGCAAGGAACTCAGTGAAGAACTCAGCTTTGTCCCCCCTCTCCTACATCAATTGCCTTATTGCTCTGCCACCAACTGTTATTTTAATAACAGTTATGTTTTAAAGATTGTTAATATAACTAGCAGAGTTGAGGGAAATTAGACACCTCAAGCCCTATGTGGGTAAGTTTCTTCTTAGGAAATCCCTGTGGCCCACTGTTGTTGATAAGAATGGTTCTGTGTCTGCAAGTGTCACATGGTAAGAAAGGGAAAAAATCATCTGAGCAACACCAAGCAGCAAACCTGTAAGAAAGGGACAAATCACTTTAAATAATACTGAGCCCAAAAGAGAGGGAAACTCCTGCAAGAAAAATAAATCCATATTGCTGGAAACCCAGCAACCTGCTGAGAAACATCTTGTGCCAATCCCAGAAAAAAAATCTGACTGTTCACAAAGCTAAGCACTGGATGGAAAGCTGTATTGCTGCCACTGGGAAAAAATTGAATCATTCAGTTGTAATGCTCCCTTGAAGACTCATGAACCTGTTGTCTGGACCGTAGGAAGAGAAGCCTTCTTTAACTTCAGAGAAGGAACATCTAGAAAATGCTATGGTTTTAGTGTGTTTTATTTCTTTTTAGGGAAGAAAAAAGTGGTGTCCTTTCCAGCAACTTGTGTTAGCCAGAATGAGTTTTTACTGGATATTTCATCTGGCTAAACTGTCAAAACCCAAAGATATCAATTAATTCAGCAAACGCACTCTTGTGCGTTGCTGTACTGTAAATCATTGGACTGACTGTCTGCAAATTTAGTACAGATTGAGACTTTTTGCACACAGGAAGCTAGTGGAGATTAACTGGTTAAGAGATTTACATTTAATTTTTTTGAAGTTAATCTTCATGATGATTCATTATTGGCTAGAGTCTTAAGAAATTATTAAATTTTAATAAAGTTGGCATGTTTATACTATTACATTATTTAACTTGACAGTACATTCTGGTTTTGGATGACTTTTGTCATTAACCATTTTGAATCCTCGGTCTTCTCTGTCAAACTGATAGTACAGTCTTAGTTTAAGAGACACTTATCCTCAGGGTCACTTTCTCTTAAGCTTGCTTACATGGCACTGATTAACTCTAGACATTATGCAGTACGTCTTGCTTAATGTGGTAACGTGCCTGTGAACTTTTGACCTAACAGCCAGGAGGAAATGTTAAGACTTGGATTTGTGTTTCTTTATATAATTTTGTTTTCCAGCCTTTTCTCTTAGCTACTAAGCCTCTTTCATAAATAGTCAGCAAGATGACAAGTAATGGGATTAAACTGCAGCAGGGAAAATTTGGGTTCAGTATTAGGAAAAACATTTTAACCTGAGTTACAAGAACAGCTGAGCACCAGAACAAGATGCCTGTAGAGACTGTAAAATTGCCAGCATTTTGTGATACTGAAGGCTAGAATTGCTATTCTGCCATCAGTGATGGTTTGGGAGTTCAGATCCTTTCGGCTATAATATAGCAGCAGGAACGAAAACGAGCAGTTGAAATGTTCTGTTAAGAGATCTGTCTCTTAAAAGTCCTTATAATTGCAGGGGTTACAGGTAACAAACTGGTAAGATTGATCCCCTACAATTAATTTTGACCCCAGCAGTCTTTCCTGCCCAGAGCACCAGGGCTGGGCCCCCTTCCAGCCCTGATCTTCTGTGAATATTATATTATCAATTGGTTTATTTTAAAATCTCCAATATTCACCAGTACTGTGCAGTTCACTTTTTCTCAAAAATATAATGAGACAGTACTTGACTAGATTAATTTTAATCCTTTTTTCCCCTGCTATTTCATTTTCATTGTAACAAATCCTTCATAGTCGATGGCAGTGCTTAGTGTAGGTGGTTGAATCAAATGACTGAACAGGCCATTGTACAGTAAGCTTCTTCTGTCACCCAGTTCATAGTGTCAGTCGGCGTACAAGCTGCTGTCGTCCTTTGCCTCGTGCATCTTCCCTGCCCTAGGCACGCAGCTCTTGTTCAAAAAAGCCAATAGCTTCTCTTCCCAGGGCGTTTCACTGCTACCAGTTTACAGCTAAGAGTTAACTACTGGGCCACAGCTTAAGGACTTCCCTTCTCGCACTCCAGTTTGCCAAATGAGACCCACGTAGACCTTTGTGTCCCACCTTTTTTGACTTAAGGTTTTCAACTCAGTGAAACAATCAAAATTGTGTTGTGCTTTCAGTGCTCTATGATTTAAAGATGTAACTTCCTCATTTGAAGCACCAGTGTCTCATTTACTACCCCTCCAGAAACTTCATCCAGAAACTTTATTAAAAGTTGTTTCTTCTACATTCCCCCTCCCCTCTCCGCCCTCCCAAAAGAGCCAAAAATGCTTCAGAAAGTTGTTCCTGGCCTGCCAGAGGCTGGAGCGGTGTATGAGAAAACATGCAGCGTGGTGCTGGTCGAGTACGTCCCGACTCAAACTCAAATCACGGCTCTTCTTAGAATCGTCTAGTATTAGTCAGGTTCCAGAACGTTGTCATACATTCACTCTGTGAAGGCAAAGGGCACTGCTCTTATGCTGGATGGTAGGAATTTCTGTTGGCCGTTCTGATGTTCTTTCATCTTCTTATTTTAAGACCTCTAGGCTTATGTGCAATAGTATTAAATATTAATTAAAAATAGACTGACCAGGGCAAATCAAAGCAAACTGGATAACAATAACAGTGGGCAATTAAAAGGCGTCCTGAGGCCCCTTCACTCTTAAATTGTGAAAATGTTTACAAATGTTAACAAAACTACTTTACAGCAAAGAGTGGGTGTGGGAAGAAAATCACTGGTAGGGCTGTAAAAGTCTGCCTAATGACCTGTTTCCATAAACTGTTGCACGCTTTCACCCTGATCCAGCATAGCGCAGAAAACGCACAAGCAGCGCTGTTGAGCAGGACTGCCGAACTCAATGGCTTGTAGGACTCACCTCATAAGGAGCATGGCTTTTGTCACACAAACTTAACAGCAGAAAAAGATGTCATGTTTCACCCTTTCCTATTTGTAGTAAGGATTCCTATTTGAGTTTGCTTTCAGGGGATGAACTTCCTCTGAAGTTTGTTTTCTTTTTTCTGCTGTTGCGTCAGAATTACAAATCTAAGGCCATGGCCAGGCACTCATTTGTAGTGCTGCAAAGTGTCTTTGTGGTGCTATGAAAGCGCAGAGCTAAGGGAGTGTCCAGGTGTTTCAGCCCAATGCCTGAAGACTTGCAAGTTGCCTCAAAGGCAAGCGCTGCAGCCCGTGGAGCAGCAATGGGCTGCTCCACTGTTTTCCTACCCTGTCCCCAGGGAAGCCCAGTCACTAACAACCTATGCTCTTCCTTGCTGGAGAAGAGGGCAAGCTGAAAAGCAGTAGGTGCCAAAGACAACCTTCTACCCAACAGAGGTGGCAGGAGCTGGAAGAATTGCTTTCTTTGCCCCACCTGCTCCTAGTAATGCTGCTGCCAGAGCCTCAACTCTTGCAAGGGTTCTTGCAATGGAGGCAACAATTTCCCTCAGCTAGTGCTAACCGATCCCCCTCCTGCCACCTGTCCACTCCGCTGATCAGCAGAACGGGCAGGCAGGCGGTTGTGGGGAGGTGGGGGAGCCTCTGTCTGAGACTCCTCAAGTGGTGGCAGGGAATGGTCCTGCCACTTGACCAGTCTCAGACAAAGCAGGGACTGATCAAGTCTCTGTGTTAATAGTGTCCCCACACTGTACAGTCTATCAGACAACCATCTGCTTCCCATTTGCAGGGAAAGGGAGGGTGAGTAAAGCACTGTGAGATGCTAGTTGTCCTAGAGACTCCTGTAGTGCTGATGTGTAACTGTGTAGGCTTTACACTGAGTGCTATAAAACATAGCCCTACTACGAAGTTCCCTTTTGAAAGTGCCAATATTTTACACCAGTTTTAGTATTTTTGTGGCTTGAATGGCTATACGCTCACTTTTTTTGTAGTGCTATAGGTGTATATTTAGAGCTACAAATGTAACTGTCCATTACTTTAGATCTCAGTCTGGGAGTACTGAAGACGAGACAACTTTGTACAGTTCATGCACAGCCTAAATAGCACATTAGGGTATATCCTCGAAGTGAAAACAAGTGGCCTGGCAGATGCACAAAAAATTATTTTTCTTGGTTCATTTTAATTAAGACAAATGAAAGAAAATTGCAAAAATTCTTCAGCCAACAGGATTCTTGAAAAAGAACATCAATCAGAGCCAGAGGAAACAATAATTACATCTTATTGAGTCAGCTCTCCAAAGTTACACTGGGATCAAATTCCACATTTTGGATCAGGTTTAGGACATATGACAACTGTTCAAATTGTCAGTTTTAGCTTGACCTGTAACAAAGATAAAGCAAAATTGCACTCTGATCCAGATCAAGTTTGAGACCTCCCAAAGGTTGGTTATATTCAGATCCTGGTTCAGTCCCGGATCTACCTGAAAAACAACAGTGTAGATACCCTTTCAAATTTGACTCGTGCTTAATTTTCATAGTTATTCACTCCCTGAGTAAATGAATAAAGATCCGTAATTGAGAGGTGCTAATTTTGAAGCAAAGGCACTGGCCACGTAAACATTGGTTTGTTCCAATTAAAAATGTAATGTAGGTAGCTTGCTATTTCTACTCAGAAAAACATACACTTTTTATTTTTCTGGATAATTTTATTCCCTGATTCAGCAGTAATTCCATCATTTGATTGCGCCCTGCCTGCTGAAACGAGGAAAGTAAAGAACTCAAAATGTACACACAATCATTGGATAATTTAGTTCTTTGGCCCCCCAGAAAGATATATTAAAGGTGACTTGCAAACAGAAATAAAAAATGATGTCTAAACATTGTGTGTTGATGATCCTAGTAAGCAAGGTTATTGGGGCTGGTTGACACGTGCCACCTGAGAACTCACAGGTGGCCAGTCCCTGTTTTGATGAGACAATAGCACACAACTGCCTGATAGTGTCACAATAGCTGCAGATTCTTAGTAATGCATGGAGTCCCATCCTACACTGTAAGGAGTCTCACAGATCATTCTTACTATTTTGAATGTTTTAACAATTTGTTATCTTATGTCATTTGGGTTGCAAAGACAGGAAACAACAAAACTTGCCAGATGATAGATAAAAAGAACTTAAGTGATTCCTCCATGTACTGATTTTGAGCAACACTGAGATCTTAGTATCTGTGATACCAGCATAGGGTGTATGCTGGAGCCTCTCAAAAGATCTTAACTTGCTCACCTACAACAGAGCTGGACCGTACAAACAAAAAAAGTGAGCAAGAAGTTAGTTTGCTGTTCTTAATACACTGAGTGATCTTACTATGTGAGATTCAGATCATCTAGGACTGGGGTGCTCAACCTCTGGCCCGTGGGCCAAATGCAGCCTGTAGAGCCAGAGGTATCTGGCCCACGGGGCTCTCCACAGATCAGGAAGTGTGGCAGTAAAAATGGCCACCCTCCCCTGCTGCCAAATTCCCAAACCCTGAGCCTTGCACAGCAGTTTGGGGCCAGGTCATACCCTCATGCTCCTTCCCCCTACTCGGGCAGCTGGATGAGGCTGAGTCATGCCCCTCCCTCTGGGCTGGATGGGGCTGGGTCACACTTCCCCTGGCTCAATCCCTGTCCCCCCTGTAGAGCTGAGCCACACCCCCTCCCCCCATGGGGCTGGTGACATCCCCTCCGTCCCTGCCATGGCGCCAGGTTGGAACTGGAAAGCGCCCTTCCATGTATAGAATCTAAATATTGAGGGGGTCATCTTAAACCCAGTCACTTTGGATTTAGGTAAATACAGTATATCCATCACGTTTCTTTTTCTTAGCACGTGTGGGGTTTTTCCCCTACCAATCTGTCAGGAATTTGCTTCGGAAAAGCTAAGCAGAGAGGCTCAAATGGGTCAAACAAACTATCAAGAATCTGTTTAAAATAGAAAGAAGCAACCAGTTGGAATTGATCTTGTGACGATCAGAGTCCCCAGAATACTCTGATGATTACATTATTTAATTATCAATTTATTTTATGCCCTTGCTTTTATTTTTTTGTTACCTAACCTGTAAACTAAAAATATGTATCCTTCCTGTAATGTTTTAATTGTTTTCTCCCCACACTTAGGATAAAATTCTTTGCAGTGTTTCAAATATCAATTAAATGTAACCTCTTGCCAAAAAGACCCTGAAAGAAAACAGATAATTGCATTAAATTGTTCATAATTATATAACCTTCAACCTGAGCATAATTTCAAATATCTGTCTAATGTTGATTTTCTGATTGTTCATTCTGTGTTCAGTCCAAGTATCATGAAAAATTGAGTTTAATTTTTAGCTTCTTTTTTTGTTTGTGTGCCTTAAATGCAGTGGGCTTGTAGTTTACTCTGAAGGACCCCTGAACCTGGACCACAAACCAGAAGATATGTCTGAGCTTTTCAGACCCTTCCATACTTTGCTACGAAAAATAAGGCAAGTTGAAAAGATTTGTTTCTTGAAATTACTTCTTTCCTGTGGTGAAAATGAAAGGCTTGAAAATTACACTTGAAAAATGTTTTTTAAAAAAAAACCTGTTTCCATGCTTCTTCCATCCCATAATTTGCCCCTATTTTCCTCCTGTATCCCATTGTTGTACATAGCTGTCATTTCCAGCTGATCTTCTTTACTCTGGTATTTTTAAAATACTTTTGGTTCTTCATAATTCTTTCTTTTTTTAATAGATTTTTTTTTTTAGGTTTCTTTGTTTTGATAGATAAGTCAGGTAGGGGGGATGTCTGCATTGACAAAGCTAGGCATTATAAGGTTTTAGAAAATACAGTTTTCAGCAACATTCATGTTTCTGTTTAACTATATTTATTTTACATTTCCTGTGGCTAACTCATTATAGTATGATGCAATACTCAGTGATTTCATGGGTTATTTCTGTCCATTATTTCTGTCAGATTAATGGTGATCAGACTTTCTGTTTTTTGGGTCCCTTTTTATAAAGCATCTCAATTTACATACATCATTTTACCCAACTTTTGAGTCTCAGTTGCCTGAATGAGTAATTTAATTTGAAAGTAGTAAAAGGGCAGTATTATGGAGAAGTAATAAAATTAACCTAACTTCAGTGAGATGTGTGTGGCTGCTCACATCCTGCTCCTGTGGTGCTAGAACGGTTATAGGTGGAAGAGTTTGTGGCCTTAACCGGGGGTGAGGGGGGGTGTCAGACTCTCCCATCGCCCTGAACTGAATCCAAACTGTAGGGCTCCTTGGGGGCCAGATCCAGACCGCAGGGCTTCTTGGGGACTGGATTCAGGTCCATCTCCATGGCAAAGTGAGCAGTGTCAGGGAGTTGTGGGGTTAACATGCCCATCTCTTGCTCCACACTACCAATACACAACCCCAGTTAGGGCTCCGTACTCTGGAGGCTCTACCTCTGCTTGTCCCACTCCCAAACTCCTGACTTACCTAAGAGCCCCGCAGGCCAGATGACCTGAATCCATGAGCAGGATGCAGCCCACAGTTCAGATGTTCGACTCCCCCTATTTATTTTTTCAAAAGCGACTAGTTGTTTTGAGTGTCTCAGGTTTTGGTGTTCATTTCAGAACATGTTTAATGAGGCCTGATGTTCAGAACTGCCGAGCAGAATGTGAGGACCTTTTAAGGTATTTTAGGTTGGTCATTATAAAATTAAGGAACTGGAAATACTAGAAACAAAACAAATTCTGATGGCAACTGATATTCCAGCACATCACAAGTGTGAGAGATGAAGCGTCACCTTAGGACTGTGCAACGTAAGGACATGTGCTTGATTTTATTCTAGATGATCAAAAAACTTTTGGAAAACCGGATAAAATCCAGGATTGTGCTACAAACAGAAAAGGACCCAGGGGCTATAGTAGACCATAAAGTGAATATGAGCTAACAGAATGTAAAAAAGGCCAGCAGCATACTGAGTTGTATTAAGAGGAGTGTCAATTGCAAAGCAAGGGAAGTGATTCTTGTCTTCTGTTCAACACTGGTGAGGCCTCACGTGGAGTACTGTGCTGTGTCCTGATTTAGTGCCACAATTCAAGAAGGATATGGACAGTTTGGAAAGGGTCCAGTGGAGACTGATAAAAATAGCTCAAGGTCTGGAGCACACAACTTATGAGGAAAAGTTGGAAGAGCTTAGGTTATTTAGTTGGAGAAGAGAAGACTGAAGGGGATTTGATAGCAGTCTTTACATACCAGAGGGGTGATTTTTAGAGAAGATGGAGACGGGCTTTTCTTTGTGGCTGTAGAGAACAAGAATAGGAGCAATGGACTGAAGATGAAATTTTGGCTGGAGATTAGGAGGAACTTCCTTACTACAAGGGTGGCTGAACATTGGAACAGGCTATCTAGAGAAGTTGTGGAAACTCCCTGCCTGAAAATTTTCAAGAGCAGGTTGGACAGACACTTGGCTGGATGGTTTAGTTAGGGATTGTCTTGCCTTGAGCGGGGGATGGACTAGATGACCTCATGAGGTCTCTTCCAGCCCTACTTTCCTTTGATTCTGTGAACCTGACAGGACGCAACTTTGATGGCAAATGGACATACAGAAGGAGCTTTGCATAGCCCCTGGATCACTTCCTGAGCATCTGTGCATTAGAGATGCACAGAGGCTAGTCCAAGTGCTTTGCATATTCAGAATTGTTTGCTACAAGGTGGGCCAGATTGCAAATTAGGGCAACTCAGCTTTTTTCTACTGACCTAGACTGAAGCCAAGAATACTTTCATGCTGTTCCTAGGTTAGTTTTTAATGATGGCACTTCCACTACTTCTCTTTAAAGACTATTCCATACCCCGATTAATTCATATAAAAGAGATTTCTTACTAAAACTTACTTCCCTTCATTTGTTTACACTCTTCATATCTTAAGGGATGTGTGTGACTTTGTTTATTTTTTGCCTCTCTGAACTGTTTTGTCTAGCTTTTTCTCTAACATGCATCATTATGACAAGGATGTTGAGAACAGAATATGTTGGTAAACTGAGTTTTTCCATAGCTTTAAGTGGTATTTGGTTGTAAATTGCAGCTCTGACACTTAAATCAATCTGGTCATTATGAGCTTCCTTGAACTCTGTTGACACCAATACTTTAAAACATAGTTTTATTTATGCCTTTCTTAGGTGATGCACAGTGTCACATGTATTCTACCATAGAAAGTGAATGGACGTTAGGCATGCAATATTTGCTTGTGACTTTAAAAATCTCCTGATGCATCTGTCTACAAGATTTATACCACAGATTTGCAAGTGCATGTGCAGTACTGATCTTTGTGCTAGTGGTACTGTATCCTTCTATTAAAATAGATGCATGTTACTCTTACAACTTTGTAGTAATGTATTTGAGTGATGCTGAAAGCTGGGCTTAAAGAAATAAATCACTGAGCCACAGAACTGATAAGGTAAAGAGCAGAATTCGTAGTTCTTACTGTCATGAGAAATTCCACTGAACCGTAAAATCCAATACAAGTTAAAACAACAAAAACCCTATTTAATCCAAATATGCAAGCACAACAAAAATTCTTTGCCTATTTTACTTGCCTTCACTTTGATTATTAAAATTGAAGCAATTCTTAAAACTAAACGTGCTTTTCACCATTTATTCTTTTTCGCTTACGCTTTACTTTTTGCTTACATTTTACAACATGAGGAATGAAAATCAATGAAGGCAGTTATTGCTTACTGCATTTAAATTTCTGATTCTTAAATCTTAATGGTTAGATTGCAAATGCATCAGGAAAGTGCTTGTTTGTTCAATAACAAGTATTTCCAATGCAGTCTTAAAAAATCTTTATCTCAGTTTCTGGTTTTAGAAAAACTAGTTTTTACAAATTCCTAGCTTTGTGTCAATGTTGTCATTATGTTCTTCAAAGTGAGAGCTTGCTCTTAGGCAGGGGTCTTGAGTACAGTGGTCTGCAGCCAGAGTTTATCAAGTGTCTTCAGTCAAGAAATATTTATTAGAAATTGAGAGAAAGTCTAAGCAAATTGAACATAAGTAATGTGGAATTTATATGAAGTCAGGTATCTTTAGCAGCCTTGCTAGATAGGTCAAAATCATATAATATGGGTGATTAAAGTAAAGTGACAAGTTCCTGTCAAGCTATTTCTCTAAGGTTTTCTATTTCATAGTGTCCTGGCATTTCAGAGCCAAAGTCCTTCAAGTTAGATTTTCCTCCTCTTCCTCTATGCTGTAATATCCTTGCAATGCTTCTGTGAAAGGAGGAAGAGAGAAGAAAAAGAATAGAGGAAGAAAAGGGGAAAAGTAGAATGAGAAGCTACCCTGGATGTTGCATATTCACCAGTTGGAGATTCATCTGCACTAAATAGTAATGACTTTCCATCCCTTTGGATATTTCCAGGTCCAGCTCATTACATGTTGTTAGATACACAACATCATTTGCAAAAGAGGTCTACAGCAACAGGGAAGCCAGTACAATGCTGGTACATAAACACTGGCCCATTGTCTTTGGTAATTAAATTAGATTTGTAACCATCTAGCCTCAGTATTTGCATTACTGAAGGTAGAAACAGATATTGCCTTTCCTTGCCTTTATGGTGGCCCAAAGGCAAAGCAAACAGACATCCAGACCCCTGTTGGGACGAGAGTGTGGGTGGTCGGAGGTGCCTGCACTCTCCAGCCAGCCTAGGCAGGTGCTCTGGAGGCTAGAGGGGCCTGGTCCTGCACACCCAGGAGTTTCCCAGGCAGGTGCAGGCCCATGGACCACTTGCCTGGCTTTCTCCTCTTACGGAGACCTGCAAAAGGGAATTTCAGAGTGCATCTCAGGAAGTGGGGAAAGCCAGGGTTTCCCCATTTATGGATAGCATCTCCTGGCCTGTCTCTGTAATCAGGGAAAGCCTGGGTTTCCCCAGTCAAAGAGACATGCTGGGGAGATCCCAGGGGCACATCACTAAGTGAAGAAAGCCTGGGATTCTCTGCTTAGGGAGAGACACACCCCTGGGATCTGCCTGGCATGTCACGAAACGGGGAACCTTGGGCTTTCCTCACTTCGGGAGATGTACACAGGAGATCCTAGGGGTGCGTCTCCATAAGCGGGGAGCCCCAGGCTTTCCCTGCTAAAGGAGACAACCCCAGGAGGTGGAGGAGCCAGGGAATTCCCAGTGTGCTGTGCCTCCATGCTGGGGCTGCTCTAGGTCCTGTTCTGCCCTGTGCTTCACATGGAGACATGAGTGAGCCGGGGTCCCAATGATCCGTCCAGCACTGACCCATGGCTCCACGTGGAGCATGGGACACTGTGGGTCCCAGTGTGGAGGCATGGGGCACTAGGAATTACCTGGCTCCCACATCGCCCCAGGCCTCCTTCCCAGGACCTGTGCCAGCCCATGCTTCACCCAGATGGTTGGGTCAGCGTGCGTCGGTACATGTCCTGCTACAGTTGATCCGCTTTGGGTTGGTGACATCTATTTCACTGCCAGATGTATTGGGTATACTTGGTATAA